GCCTTTTTCTTTGCCAAAAAGTGTAATAGGAAAACTGAAAGGCCACCTGTGTCAGCCCACCCTATAGTATGAACATAAGCTATAAGAGCATTTTGGAAAATATCTTCAAACTGAGATGAGAAAAAAAAAATCAATATCAATACAGATTCCAAGCAGATGCAAAAGGCTTCTGTGCATGTTAGTGATTATGTGTGTGGCCTACACAGGCTAATTTCAGATGCCTCCAAAACTCAGTATACTTTCTCTTTTATAAACTATTTGGGATTAAAACTAGGAGCTCATCCATATCAACTTTGACAATGGACACAAATACAGGGTAAGCTAATCAAGCCAAACAAGTTGAATATTCCCCCTCATAGAAGACTCTTTTAATCTTAAATGCCTACTGAAATTTACAGACATGCTACACTTAAATTTTGACAGTTGTTTATTAAAATTGCTTTCCTAGGAAGTTCTATGAAACCAACAGTCTAGTTTGTATCAGAACTGAAGCAATCGGAGAGAAGTCGAGATGATGGCATACTTGCAGCAAGCAGACAACAATAGGAAACTCTTAGCACTCCCAGAGTTGCATCAAATTTTCCATGGACCGAAACTAAAATGAAATAGTTCAATTACTAAGAGGTAGATAAGTAAAATAAACAACTAATTTCATACAGTGAAGTTGGGAGAGAGTCATATGGACCTCATTCTGTTGTCTCCAAACGCTGTATTAGAGGGGGAAAAGGAGCTGAATAAACTTTAAACTCTCATGTAGGGATGTATTGCTTGTGTGTCCCTGGCAGATGTGGAAAGGAGATGAAATGGGCAAGGGAGAATCAAATATCCCATCGCTGCAGGTTTGTTGAGGGAAAGAGCACTGCAAAGATCTCACATCTGGCAATCATTTGTCAATAGCTGGAAAGAGAACGGCAGGAAACTTTCTGGCTCTTGGAGAAGATGAAAAGACAAAAACCATGTGTCACACACACACACACACACACACACACACACACACACACACATTCTGCAATGGTACAATGACTACTACACTTATTCTCCACCCCTCCCCCCCCAAATTTAATGATCTTCAGATATACTCTACTCCGTGGTCAAAAACATGCAGTCACTTGACTTGTTAAAGCTGCAGTGTATGTACATTTTTCAAATAAACCCCAGGGCTGATGTTAGAAAATCAAAATCAGTCAAGCATAGACCGCCTGGTACTTTGGGCAGGAATCCTTGTGGTTTAGTCAATAAACAGAATCTGAATGAAAGACACCACAGTAACTAGACAGTAAGGTTTTGAACAGTTCTTAACCTAAGGGGGGTTGGGGAAGGCGGGTGCACTAGTGACCATGGACATAAGGCTACCAGTCCACTTAGATGGCTCGCTCTACCTGCAACATGACTGTGTTTAGCACAAGGTCATCTGTTGTTTCTCTCTCTCTCTCTCTCACTCTCTCTCTCACACACACACACACATACAGTGAACTTGTATTAGAGGAATGTTGAATGTTGTGAATGAATTTAGAGAGGAAACAGTTTGTTGTTGTTTTTTAAATAATCATACCTGTTTAATAGGGTGGGAAGGAGAAACCTCAAATTCTTTTCGGTCCATACTGGTGATAATAATATAGAAAATTTGCTGGCTTCATTATGAGTTCATAAAAATGACCAGCTTTGCCCTAGCAGGTTTATTATGCAATAAAAAGTTTTCGAGACAACCCACACAAAATTAATTAACTTCTCCAAAATCATAGGAATTTAAATCTGGTCATGGTGATCGATAGACTTCAATAAGCAGCTTTCAGTTCACCCTTATGCTGCATTTAACTAGCAGCAATCGCCAAGCTCATCCCTGTGATTCCATAAGTGAATGCTGCAGGTTGTTTAATAACCTGGCAAATTCACAGTAGCTTGTCAAATTATTACAGGAACAGTGTCATCACTAAACAAGCCTGATCACGGTTAATTACAATGCAGACTAGAGTGCAGCCACAATTGTTCATTAATTACAGGAAGCACCTCATTTAAATTTTATGGAAATTTACACTTGCACCCCGGTATGTCTGGGGAAAAAAAAAGTGATCCTTCACGCATTCACAGAAGAAAGGAGTCTGTGGTTTATGAAACATCACAGTAAATTGTGTCTAATCTGGTACTGAAATATTGGTTCATTATTTACTCTAATTTTCTAAGCACTTTAGTGGTGAAAAATATCAAGTCAACCCCACATCTTGAATTCCCAACCAAGAAAGGAACCGTGTTGGGTTAGATGTAACAACTTAATACAGGATAAGGCAGAGTTAGACTTAAAAAGTAACTTTTCTCTGATTGAAAATATAATATTTAACAGCAATTAAGGGAAGTCTAAACTAGAATAACCACTTCCTAGAAAATAATTATATAAGAGCACAATTTTTTGCTAATATACATCAGTTAACCTCCCAAGCTAAAAGAAAGTACGGTTTCTTACCCACTTCAAAAACCACTGAGGAAAATCAATAAAATTAGTGAATCAAAGTCTTGATTTCCAGCTACTTTTCTAAATCAAGCATATTAACACAAAAAGCCAGCAGACACCCTTGCAAAAGTCAAGTAAGACACAGACTTCAGGATAATAGTCATTCAAAACCAAAGATATGTTCATGAAAGTGTGCGAGGGATCTTGGGATTATTAAGCAATAAAGTTGCTAAGCCACCTGAAATTTTAGGGATAGAAAAAAAGAGTGAAAAGGAAAGAGGTAAGAACAGAAAAGGACTCCACCAGTTATGAGAAATTATGTCAGCCAAAATAGAAAAGTAAATCAGATATGGGCGCTGTGTGTCTAAATGAAAATCCTTCATAGGAAAGGATATAAACAAACTACTGCTCCTAAGTCAAGGTGTACAAGAGGTTATTCTCAGAATCAAGAGGCCAAAACAGCAAATCCTCTAGTGGTTATGATGCTTGGCCCTGGGGGACAGCTTGAGATCCAAGCAGGGAAAATAGATGCCTCTGGCACGTCCTAGGGTGAATTCCCTGGAGTGCAGAATTAAGACTAAAAACTAAGAAATGCCTCATTTCTTAGGGAAAAAGAAAAGACCAGATACATGCCATAGCAAGAATGAAAGGACTCTAAGCTAAAAACCACTCCTGAAATTGTTAGCTGGTGAAGAACATATTAAGTGTCAGGTTTTTTTATGACTGACATAATGTGGATATGTACCAGATATCATTAAAATGTATGGAAGCCATATTTAGAAAGAGGAAAAAGAGAAGGAAATGTTCAAATGGGTCCCAGTTAATGCACCAATTCACCACACTTGACTCTTTGAACAGATTCAACCTTTCCACTCGGTCTGCCAAAATGGTGTTGTAAGAGGAGGAGTCCAATAAAATGAGACTCATTTCTTTGCCCGGGGGCTTGGTCTTCCTTGCAAGGACCGTGATGAATTGTCAACTCTACAAATGTTTAACTCCTACAACCAGGGTTTCACTTAAACTAGTAAATATACATCTTCTCTCTTGGTATGTTAAAATAATATGCTCCGTTGGTCTCTTTCAGTTTTATTTCACACAGTCACATCTGCAAAACCCATTGCTCTTTGCTTCATAACTCAAAGTTCACAAACAGATTATCCAACAACCACCCATGACAGACCATTCCAGGTGATATGTTTGAAGAACATCACTCGTCCTACCCAAAGAGGTCAAGGATCAGACCACTCTCCATGAAAAGTCTTCCATCACTCTGCATTTATGTGTCACACACAAGCTGTTCGCTTTCTAAAACTGGGAAATACATGATCATGTCTCATATGTGTCACACCTGCTTTTCTATTGTACCATAGCCATACACCACCCAGACAGTACCAGCTTGTGGCATAGCAGAGCTCAGGTGGTCTTCCCTAGGCCAAGAGCAGGTGTGCAAGAGATGGTACACTCTTCAGTACCATAAAAACTGAAACCTCCTCCTACCAACACTTCCACCTTCTCTCCAACTGTGAAGAAGTCAATTTTTAAAACTATTCTCCTTTCTCATGCGGAGTGTCTAAATCAGTAAAAATGCTTTAAAACCAAGCTCATCATGCCCATCCTATAAGTCTGAAAATTTAGAAAATGATGCAAATGCAGGTCCTAAAAAAAAAAAAATAGTATGTGTTTGCTCATGCTAGGGGATGCCATCCATGTTACAACTTCAGCCAGTATCTCTGCATTAGTAACACACACATTCCTTAAATATTAAATGGACATAAAGTAGAGGTAGGTCTTTGACCATGGTGTCATTTTTGTATTTTTTATCTGTGATATACCAAACTACTTCTAATGTCCCAAGACCATGTAACATGAACTGAATTCTAAGTACTTTCATTTGGCTAATGAACTTAATATTGAATCACAGGACATATCTCCCCATACAAGAAAAGGGAAGATACTTATCATTAAATCATACTTTTCTAGTATGGTGCCTAATGGCTTCTGTTCTCCTGAGCTGAGAAACCATCATGCAGGAAGCATGACTTGCTCACCATGTATCTCCAGTGCCTAGCAGAGTACCAAGCACGTGGTAACAATGCTTTGAAAAGATAAGAGCTAGTCTTAACTGAATGCCTGTTATGTGCCAGGCCCTATGCTAACAGCTACGTATATGTTAGAACATTTACTCCTCATAATCACCTTGGGTGGTAAGTCTCCATTTTATAGATGGGAAAGCTAAAGCTCAGTGTGTTTGAGTGACTTTGCCAAAAGTTTCACAGTAGCTTTTGTCAACCTAGGCAGCCAGCCTTCAGAAACCATGTTCTTATCCACTGCAGTTTATACCGTTTCTTAAATGGATGAATAAATGAATTATCTCCAATTACAGACAGTTTAGCCTGAAAAGGACTTTTTGTGGTGCACATGCTACCTTGGTTCTTCCTTTACACCTGTCTCAACAGTTGTCCATCTCCTGATGACACTGATATATCTGTATGGCCTCCAGGGACCACTGTTTCTGTCACACCACCCCCAACTAATAAAGCAATAAGACTCCAACCTGGACTTCCAGCCTCTGGTCTGGCTCCTCCAGGTTTGGGCAAAAGTCTGCACCCAGCACTCTGCCAGCACATGCCACTGGAACCTGGGGGAATATGGCCAAGTTAGATGCTGGGTGTGGAGGTTGCTGAGAACTACACACAAATACATTTGACCCAGACAGAAGCAGGGACATTCCAACTGCAAGTATGAAACAGGCCATCATGGCTCCATTGGTTTTTGACACTTAGTACGTCAAATATATTATGTCAAATATATTATGACTATCATGTAACCAAGTTTATTAACTATCAGAAGGCAAATTCTAAGAAGAAAAGATCCACAAAATTTTTATTCCCCCTTGTATCCACAGCATGTAGCACAAAGTAGGCATGTACTAAGTATCTCTGGATGGAAGGAAGAGAAAAGATTAAAGTACAGGGGAAAAGAAACAGAGAATCTCTACTTGACACTGGTGACATTTTTTCCCCTCTTTTAATTTTCTTATGTGAGAATGAAGAAGAACACTGTATTCTCTAATGCCTAAAGTTCCTTTCTGCTGTTAAAATTCCTGTTCAAATTTATTTTTCCTATTTATGGTAAAGGTTAGCATAGACAGACTTTATCAATATTTTTTTTTATTCATGATCTCTAAATTTTAACAGGCTTATTTTATGTCTGTTCCAATAATAAAGATGATAACAAAATAGCAATAATTTAGAATATTTCTCTATATCTAAAATTCTATATGGAAAGCCACTAAAGATTCCCTTTCAAAACTATCTTAATCAGGCGATCTCATCTCAAAATATTGCCTACTGTTACTTGCTTACTTCATTTTAGATTTTTTTTTGAGATAAAGACAAAAGGACTTAGATTCCATCTAAACCTGTTTCTGCTTTTTAAAAAAGTTCTCTAAATCACTATTCAATATTTCCAAACACACACTATCTTTGTTAATCATACAACTATCTTTATCATAATCTCAATCCATCAATCAGCTTCATTCCACATGTCTTCTTTCCCTATCAAGGCCCACCTTTGCTGTTTTGGTCTGTGCTTTAGCTCCACTTAGGATCATCTGTGCCAGTCAATTCTCTTTGTTCAGAGATCAGTTTTCAGCCAAGTGTACTGCCTTAGAAGATATTTCCCTCTTTCTTTCGACCCACAAATCAGTTCACTTCTTCAAATTTAAACAGTTTTCAATGAAGTCCACTTAGCAAGTTTACCAGTGAATATTACTACTGTTGTAAAAAAGCACTCAGTCAATTCTGCAGACATTTTTGGGACCAACTCTCCTATTCTTTTTGAGTCTTGCATTCTTTCTTCTTGCTCATGTCCATAAGGTGACATGGACAAATTATCACCTGTCTTTGAACTTAACCACTCTTCACCCACAAATTTCACAGTGGGGCCCAAGAGGTGGGAAGCAAGAGAAGTCACGTTTACTGAGCACTTGTGATGTGCCAGTCACCATGTGGGCACCTTACACACATGGATTAACCTGTTTTATTCCTTGCAACCATCTTACGGGTTATGAGCATCTCCCTTTGACAAATGAAAAAAAAAAAAAAAAAAAAAAACCAGAGACTTCGAGTAGGTAAATAACTAGAGCTCAGGGTCCCATACTAGAAAGTTGCAATTCCCAAACTTAAGAAATGAGAAGACTGAGAACATATTTCAAAGAAGTTAACAAAAAACATGCAAAAGTTGTGGCTTCCCATCTAGAGGTATTTGTTGATGTTTCATATGAAAGAAATTATAAAAAAGACAAAGGAAGTGAAGAAAGTGTGTTATCAAGACCCACTACTTGCTCTGTGGTTTAGGACAACATAAACAATGCGAAATTATCCTCTAACTTGAGGAATGAGAAAGAAATGGGGCAAAGAGACAAGCAGGGACACTGTGTATGTGTGTTGGGGCACACACAGACTGATGCTGATGCCACCCCTCAGCTGACATATGGAGGGGCACTAATGAGTTCTGCAACAGTAATCCTAAGGTGCAATAGAAGAACTGGGGAAAAATTAATCTTCGAATATTCTACATCAAAACAACCCCCCCCACAGCTTCCTATAAAACCTCAATAAATGTGACTACTTAACTGATTAAAGCACATTCCATGAGCCAGAATATATACTGCAAATCAAGTGTAAAGAATATTTTATGTACACAAAACAAATTCCCACTTATCTTAATATTTTGACTGTGTCACCAATACTAAGTTTCTAGTTCCTTTATACCACCTCCCACCCCACAGAATGCATTTTATAAACACTCTCAAGAGCAAAGGAGAAAGTTAAACAGCGACAATTACACGCGATTACAACCTCGACACTTAGAAATACACAGTTTCTGAGAGAAAACAAAAAGGTCTGTGAATAAGTTGGAAGGAAACAGTGCCAGGCTACCAGAAATCTATCAGCTTTCCAAATCACGAAAAGAATTACACTGGGGACGTGAGTTAGCACTCTCAAACAGAATCCGAAGGTTTCTGAGCAGAAAAAATCCATCAGGATCCAGGTAAATGGACTCCTGCATTTTAAAGATGAGGAAATTGAGACTTAAAACAAAACTGCACAGTTGCACCGCTGGGTTCACTGTCTAATGATGTCCTCTCCTACCACACCCACCACACTTCGTGGCAGTATCAGATAAAGAAAAATATTTAAGGGAAAAGCACGCTCTGTTTCCTAATTCATCAAAATGTACCAAGGAAAACACAAAGGATATAAAAGTTGGTAACCTAATTAGTTATAATTCTGCACACCTAGACCATTAGGCCTTTTGATTTAGAAGCCTCAGTAGTGAGACAGCTAGCTAGAAATGATCAAAAACATGACTGACGGATACAGCAGACATAAATTGTCCAGCCCCTTATTATCACTTCAGCGTAAATTAAGATAATAAAATATGGTATGTACCTCACTACTGTTTTCTCTGGAATACAAAATTTAAATTAATTTGGGGAATTCCAATTTCATCTGCTTTCCTTCATGCCAGTGTTTAGTGCCTTTTTCAACGCCATACTTTATTTTTTTTTTTTAAAGATTTTATTTATTTATTTGACAGAGAGACACAGTGAGGGAGGGAACACAAGCAGGGGGAGTGGAAGGGGGAGAAGCAGGCTTCCCGCGGAGCAGGGAGCCCGATGCGGAGCTCGATCCCAGGACCCTGGGATCGTGACCTGAGCCGAAGGAAGACACCTAACGACTGAGCCAGCCAGGCATCCCTCAACGCCATACTTTTAAAACAAAGTTCTCTACAATGATTTTCACGGAATGTTTCAGAGTGATTTTTTATCTCTGAAAAGTAGTAAAACTAGGGGACTTTTTATTTTTTGTTCTTTTTCGCATCTTAGTATATTTTGCTTTCAGTATAATAAAAACATTTAAGTTAAAAGCCAAAAATACTAAACCGATTGGCTAATATTTCTGAACAGTATGCCACAGGTTTAATTATGGGATAGTAATTGTCTAGTACTCATCTAAATTTCATTCTGCTATTGCTGTAACAGGAAGTAGGAGACCTTGAAAGGGACCCTCTGGAATCCCCAGGGTAAGCAGAAGCTGAGTGCATATCTACTCTCCAGGACATACCTCAAAGGAATCATGGTGCGTGAGAGAGCTATTTACAGCTAACTTTGTGTATAATCAGCAGGAACAAAAGGTATGACAACAAGCATAAAGGCCTCCCTCTCTCTCTCCCTCTTTCCCCCTCTCAGGGGAATTCAGCAAGGGAGGGCCAGTGGGTATTCACTTCAGTGTCAAAAGGGCTTCCAGAAAACACATTTTCCATGGGGCAGGGAGGAAATATGGCAGGCTTCCTACACACACACACACACACACACACACACACACACACACACACACACACA